TTCTATAAGCGATCGTATTATAATTGTAAACTATGCTAAGTGACCTTGTGTTACATACGTAGTTACTACTTGTAGTTCTGTTTACCATAAGTTTTTTTTATGTTCTACGATTCCAATCTATTTTTATTTGTAAGCCTTCAATATTTCCGCACACGCTGTTTAGTTAGCATTAAGTCATTTATAATACCTATTAATTCGTATTTTACGTCGGATGATATCATGATTGTTTTTTTTTATACGATGCATGGTTCATTGTGTAATTTGGCGAGTTTTTAACGTCTAGCCATCGTACTCCACATACCTACAAAAAACTTGACTGCGTAAAAAGCGAAGCGAACGTTGTTAAGTGTATGTACATGTGTAGTGTGTGGGTATATCTTCGATTGCATAACTCTAGTTATGTTTCTTTGTTTGTTTTTTAGTGTTGGTTGTTTTACATTTTTAATTTTATTTTACAATTTCTTATCAATAAATTATTTTTAAACATACTTATAAATTGTATATATATTTGTAATGGCCTCTTAAAAACCTGTATTTTGATTTCACTCGATCAATTTGAACGAAAACTTTACCACAAATTGGCGCCTCAGATCTGTCATGTTGACTTTTATAGCATCTAAGTAGTAAGTATATATAGTATATACCCTATGACTTTCGCTTTTTTCTTATGGGAAATATTTTTTTTAATTTAACATTAGTATGTTAAATAAAAGAAGTGTTCCACTTCTACAAATAGTATAAAGTTCCACATTGTGCCAATATTTTTATGGCTATGAAAATTTAACTAATTGCATATATACGTCTTTCTTAGATATTTACTATATTATTTAATATATAATATACTATTGTATATATTTTATTTTATATGATATTCCAGACTATAATCTCTCTCTGTGCCAAATTTCATCTAGATCCGTTCAGCCATTCTAGCGTAAAAGAGTAACAAACATCCTTACTCACAAACTTTCATATTTATAATATTAGTATAGACTAGCGACTCACCTTCGCTCCACTGGGGTTCACCCCTAGTTTACGTTTAACCGTTTAGTATAGATTTCTCTATAAGTATAGATATAATAGGTAATGACTATTTCAATAAGATTTTCCAAAAAATATTAAATGTATAGATTCGACTCAGAATTTTATTATACGTATAGATTGTACTATTATTAGACATGTATATATACTTATTTATTTTTACAGAAATAAAATGAATTTAGAGTCTGCTTCTTAAATTTTCTAAAAACTTTTTATTGCCTATATTATATGTAAAGTGTAATTCCCTTGCAATAAGCTTTTCGGAGTGTCTATTCGTCCTTTATTAGAAGGAATAAAAAATAATTATTAGTCCTGTATAAAATATACAAATTATAAGGAAGGACCAAGGACGACTAGATAAATAAGTAGAATAGCTCGGTAGGTTCAGAAACTCCTGCACCTAAAAATTTGACGATACTTGCTGTATTAGCTGTCGCGGGTTCGAGTCCCGCCGGGGGCATTCATTTGTATGATGAGCATGAATGTTTGTACACCAGTTATAGGTGTTTATATTTATGATATGTATGTATTTAAAGCAATAATATATGTGTAGTATATCAACTATCTGGTATCCATAACACAGACCTCGTAGTTTACCATAAAATTATATGGTGCTATGTGATAATGTCCCAAGATATTTATTTATTTATTTATTTAAAAATAATTTTTTAATCTTAAAAACTGTTGAACTTAAAAATCGTTGGGATTTAAAAGAAAATTTCCAGCTTGGTAGGTAAGGGTTATTTTTTTTTTGCATATAGAAATTCCTGCACCTGAACATCCCTTATTTTACATTATAAAATAAAAAAGTAAATATGACAAACCGACAAAAGTTGGACGAATATATTTTTTATTTTATTCGATTATAATCGGACGAATAGAAACAGCCTCATTTATTTATTATTCGTCCAATTAAATTACGAATAATTATTTTTTATTCGTCCATATTTTAAGTACGAATAGCAACAAGCATAAGCTTTTAAGTTTTAATGCTTATCAAGTTACTTTAGTTTTTAGTATGTAACCATATGGTTTAAACTTGTTTGAACTTGTAGGGTTTCTTCCTGCATATCCCATAATACTCGCCGCTGACATAGGGATGCTTCAAAATAATGTCACATTATAAAAACGTAATATTGCCAGCCAGTTGCGTATGAACAGGCACCTTAATTTCGAGGATGTAGCACAAGCTCATGCGGACGTGTGATATAATATGCATAAATCATGAACTAAAATTATTCATAAAAGTATAGATACCTACCTATGTTTATAAATTCAGTAGCCGTAGAAAGGGCAGCCTTTTATTAGTACATAGATACTTAAAAAAAAATCTAAAAGTTTTATATAATATGTACCTATTACTTTTGTAAAAACTTCTAGTAAATACTATTATTAGTAGTTTTTAGTAACATAATACAAAATTTACTTTATTAAATTAGATTTTTTCGTTCAGGTTCCGTACATACGATGAACAACTGCAAAGCAATGGAAGTATATTTCATCTCTACTTATACAATAACAGAGTACAAATAAATAAATATTTATGTTCTTAATTTATTTTAATACATTTTAAAATTAAAAAAACTCCAATTACATATACACATAGTTTCATACAAGAATAACTAAAACATCAATTTGAACATAGATAATTTAAAATATTTATTGAATAATTTTTATGAAGTATTCGATTAAATATTTAAATTAGTCTTTCAATCTCATTACTCTATTACCTACTATAATTTATCCTTCAAACTGTCATCACTACTGTAATCTTCTTATAATAGAGTCTAGACATTTACATCCTATTTCATAATCATTTTTAAGATTTCATTTATCTATACTTATATTATAAAGAGGTAAAGTTTGTGAGCTCGTGACATTGAAGGGGGTAATCTCTGGATCTAAATCTGTAAGAAAATAGTTTAAGACCCTGGGAAGGACATAGGATAGTTTTTATCCTGGAAATCATCCCTTAAGGGGATGAAAATGGGGATGAAATGGATGGGGATGGGTATATTATAATATTTAAAATTTTGTGCATAGTAGTAAAGCAAATAAATGTTAATCTAATTTTTTTTAAGACTTCGTATCGTACGTCGTGTATCTACGTCGTTAGCATATTATGTATATTCATGCAAGTATTTGCCTCGATCTATTTACAATACTACGCTGCGCGGGGAACCGCCACCAAGCATACAGTATCTCTACATCGGTAGAACTGAGGTTCTACCTTATCTGGTCCATCTTTCCTGAAAAGGGGTATCACGTAAAAAGTAGTGTACTAGGAATAGGCGTGATTTTTTTTATTTTTTTATACAATAGCTTACATCTATACTAATATTATAAAGAGGCAGAGTTTGTTTGTTTGGACGCGCTAATCTCGGGAACTGATCCGATTTGAAAAAATATTTTGCATTATTTAGCCCGTTTACTGAGGAAGGCTATATATCTTTATGCTACTACCCAAAGGAGTGGAGCAGTAATCATAAATGTCAGACTTCCATACATTACATACATGATACATTTACTATTAGTATAAAGCTAAAGAGTTTTTCTATAGTTTAGTTTCAGGTAGTCGTTATATAATTGTAAAAAAATATCCAGCTCAAAAAAATTGAAATTCAGTATGTATATTTTTAAAATATCATACAGATACGGATACTTTAAACGCCCACCATTTTGGCGCGCTTGGCGTGACGTTATAGTCTATGACAACATTACAAGCAACGAATGAACTGCTCTAGATCATAAGTGCTAATGGTAAACACCAAGCAACAGTGCTCTGTTATCATAGACTGACGTCACATTCGGTGTGACCAACGCGTTTCATTGAGTTTCAACTACCTACTTTGAATTTCCCACCTATCTTTGAACTTTTTAATAATCATTTTCTTAATCAAAAATAAATTACATTAAAATATATTGATATGGCTTAATTCAGAAGCAATCAAGATTATAAAAAAATGTTTTACCTTTATTTAAATCACACGCATATTTCCTATTCTTATCATAAATGCAATCCAATTGCAAAGTTTCAACACTTTCTATTATTTATTAATTTTATCTAACTTAACTTTTTTGTCTTATTGCAGCAATTAGATAGATTGATCGGTAAAATAACTCTGGAGCTACAAAGTTACAGTAATGAACTTAGTTACAATAACTTGACTAATAGTTAGTGCTTATAGCATAAATATAATAAGTGTAATAAAATTTTAATAATTTAATTTATATTTATTAGCCTCGTGTGTTATTAAGAATTTTTTTAAATGTAAAGGTTTTTATTTTCAAAATACATATATTTTGTAGGAATTATAAAATCATCATGTATTCATACTTTTACATTAGAATATACAGATAATAACTTAATACCTGCTTACTTTTTCTTCTAGGGCTTCCTGTGCAGTAATTGTATCATACTATTATGCACATTTCTTAGTATTTTTTTTATTAATTTACCTGACACTAGAGCTGAATCACACAACAATTGTATTGTATTTTTACAAAACCGAACATTTTTCCAAACTAATAACTGGTTTTATTCTTTAAAGAAAATTAATATGAGCATATTTTTGTGGACCGGATTATTTATACTCAATGTCATATAGTATTTAGTCGTTGAACTCTTTTATATGAAAATATTTGGAAACAATATATAGAACCTAACTGTCAAGTATTCCAATATTATATTAAAATACAATCATTATACCTGCCATTACAGGTATCACATATTTCTATCACATTGTGTACAGTTGCGGATCATAAATTTTAATTTCACGCGTATTAAATATTCGATTAAATATATCTCCGTCGGTTTCATCAACGGTAACAATCTCATCACGAAACGAAATTTGTCTATTTCCCTAGTTTAATACGTGCGATTGAACGTAACGCCGCGGTACGAGTTGGCGGGATCGCAAGTCGTCCGCGCGGCAGTCGTAGGAGGGCGCCCGCATCGGCTACATGTCGCGCCGCGCTTCCCGAGCCCGAGCACGCGCGAACACTGTCGCCGAGCACCGTCCGTACGATGACTGTCCAGAATCGCGGGTACTCACTCCCAACTTTCTACGCTCCAACGGTACTGGGGCGACCGCGATCTCAGCCGTTACACTGACTTGTTTACATCGACACTGTTTACTAGACGTATGAAGTTTATCCCGGCAGTCTACACCGAGTAAATCGCACGTTTGCGTATCAGCTGAAACGTTACGAAACTAGAAGTGAAGTTTAAAAATAAATTTGCCTTAGTGACGCTCGATTAAAATGTGTTCTTGCAGCAAGTTCTACGACTTTTGGAAAAACTCATGTGGCGCAGGTGAGATCACGATATACACTTTCTAGTTGTGGTGTACCGTTTAATTATAATCTACCGTCTTCGCCTCGAATGTTATCGAAGATTATTATAAGATTGTATTTTATTGTAAGAATAAAATTACCTTTAGTTCATTGCAATTTAACTACTTAGGTAATAAAAATGAAGAACTAAGATACCTATTTAATTAACTTGTTTTTATAGACTTTAACACCATTGTTTCAGCTTACTTTTTAATTTAAACCTGTTCATTTATTACATAGAATAAAAAGACATGTCTCACACATGAGGTGTTGTGACGAACTGATATAAAGAGGATGCGCAAATAATTACATTTTCATGTAGGAGTTCTTAATATTTTCATTTTAAATCAGAAATTGAAACACGAAAACTAAACGATAATATAAAGATTTTGTTGAGAGTAGAGATTGTAGTTCCGCGTCACTACCACCCAGGGTCACCAGCATCATGAATGGGCATGAGTCCGGTTCTTAGCGATAAATGATCGTAATTAATACAACTAAAATATAGTGGTACCTCGCAATAGTTTGAACATCTTCAATTGTTTTCTTAGAAAAAGTTTTTCGTTAAAAAATCTTATTATAATATAAAAATAAAAAATATTTTTTTATATATATATATATATATATATTTAAATCTGTGTGAAAGAATAAGTATGTACTTTCAAAATTAATTTCTTAAGAAGATCCTCAATCGTGATTCTTGACACAATGCGCTACATGCAGTCTTATACCTTGACACTCTTACCACACTGTAGACGGTAATCCAATATGAATTGCAATATCTATTTTTCACAAAGACTTGAGACGTGTATGAAGCCTTTTGCAATATAAATGGTACAATAAGAGAAACACCGCTATAGGGAAGGGTAGCTGAGTTTCTATGTGGCTATTATATCATTGAATTAAAGAAGTCTAATACAAAGTAGTTGGAACCAGTTAGTTCTGGTCATTTATTTAGTTGTTTTCGATTTCTCGCTCTGACGAACGCTAACTTGCTGGCCTCGCTCTCAGGCGGCATGTCCTTCATTATTTTGCGATTCGTTTTAACTCAATGAGACCAGCTGATTATCTTAAACGATGAGATTCAAGAGCATGTCGATTTATGGAGTGTTGCCAAAACCATCTAAAATAATGACGTGTTCTCCGCCGAAAGTAATGGCTATAGTGGCGTGACTTTTAACAGCTTGTTGTTTTAACACCGCAGATGTCTGAACTGCATTAATTTGCTTAGCTTTTTTATGGAATTCACTAACGCAATATTTATCTATAAACATATTATATTCTTGTCTTTAAACGTAATTAGAATCTGCAATTAAAAGTTTTTGTTAACTGCTCAAACTTCAATATGTGAATATTACATTCATGATTACAATAGCATACGTCATTTCACGTGATTGCGTTTTTAAGTGACCGTAAACTGAATTTATATTTGTTTACCGAGGTGGTCGTGAACACGAAATATAAAATGCATTCGAAGCATTCATCGTTTCCCATAATTAATAATATTGTAAAATGAAAGTGACAAAAACCTTTCCTCAAACTTCTAAGGTTTGTTTGTATTTTATCGTCCCACTGCCTGGCACGGGTGTCCCTTCAATACGAGGAGGATTAGGCCATAGTCTACCACGCTGGCCAAGTGCGGGTCGGTGGAATTCACATGACCATCGAAAACTTGCTAAGTTTCTTTTTCTCTTTCGTCGTAAGGCAAGTGATAATCATGTTGGAAAATGATTCGCACATAAAAATATCAGAGTTGCGAGACCCAGTATTTGAACCCGCTTCACTCGGTTTCCCGGACAAGCGTGTTACCACTTGTATTCTAGTATACCAAAATCTTTTCTTAAATTATTTAAAAAAAAATAACACTTTAAGTATATATTATTTGCACATCGTAACAAAGGTTTGTGACCTTTCTGTGTGATTAGCAGCTTTTTTATATTTTTTTTATACGATTGTTCCTTATATTCAGTGCTAGAAATGAGTATGTTCCTTGACAGTAAATCACCTCATTGGCTGCTTGTTACGAGCTAAGTGACAATCTAGCTGGTTTAATTATTCATGAACAACGTCTGGGAGGCATCAAAGAAATTGTCGCTCAGGCTGTTTACAGTTCAGTCATTAGGATGTCTAAGTTGTCAGGTAGGGTCGAACGTCGCACTTATTTAAATAATTCAGAATAGCTCGATATGAAAATTATTCAAGTAAACGGTTCCACTTGTAAATAATTAATCACTTACTTAGCTGACATTGACCGTGCATTGACAATTTCTATCACTTTTTAATACAATTATTTTTAATTTATGAAATATGGGTTGTATTATGACGTGTTTTCCAGTGGGAATGAGATTTATGAATTAGGACTTTAAAATTGATTTTTCTATTTATTATTTATTATTATTTTTTATTTATTATTTCATTATACTTATACAGAAATGTTTTAACCCTAATTCAACGAATTGTAATAATATTCGGTGGTTACATATTGTTCATTGAATAGGTAAGAACTAACTACTACAAATCAGCTCGCTAGTCTGAAGTGTTCGTATCTCTACGTTGTCAGGTACTTTGAGTGTTTGTACCTAACAAATCTCTTTAGTATTTTATGACGCAAGTGAATCCCTGCAATTTCCTCAATGATGTGTTCAAACAATGGGATTTAGACGTCTATTTCTAGCACACGTAATGTTATTCGGGTTTTACGTAGTATTATGTTATCACCATTTCGTATGTAAACTTTATAATTGGTCTAGTATAAACCTGTATAACAAAGACATAATGTCTATGTTAATCATGCTGATACTTCAATGATGATATCTTTATAGCGGAAAATTAATGACGAATTATATTTACAGAAATTAAAACAGATAACAAGCTTCATCTTTTCGTGTGATAAAGTACTCACTAAACTGATATGTCATTAATGTTATCTAAAACCTCTGTGGAGATCGTTTCAGAAGAATTATTTCGTTACGTTAATTACGTTAGTGGTTTACATATTAAGTATATATCAAGTTATTTATTTTATTGTACATATATTGTCATGTTCCTATTGATAATTGCTAGAAACATATTAAACATTTCAAAAAATACCTTATAGTCCTACTTATATGACAGATCATATAATACCAACTACTGTACTACTACTTATATTGTAAACGTGAAAGTTTGTGAAGATGGTTTTGGAAGATGAATGTTTGTTCTCTTTCACAAAGAAACTTGAATGGATTTTCACTAACCTTCACTGTAATACAGATTATACATCAAAGTAACGCATTGGCTCATCTATACTACGCTAATATTATAAAGAGGTAGAGTTTGTGATATTGTGAGTTTGTGACGTTGTAGGGGGTAATCTCTGGATCTAGTGAACCGATTTTCAAAATTCTTTTACCAATAGAAAGCCACGTTCTTTCTGAGTGTCATAGGCTATATATTAACCCGAAGAATGAAAAGGCTTTTTCGTGGTAGCCGGATTTGCAAAGTAAGTCGGAGAAAAAACGGTCGAACGAAAACGTTTCTTACGAACGCTGCATTAACGATGAGAGATATATGATTATATTCTAGAGAAAAGTTGTAGAGCTTAATAATGCCTACAACATGTATAGGTAGGTTACTACTTTTATATTTAAGTCACAAAAAGTAGCATTCCCCGGGCAACATTGTAGATACTTTTCATCCCGGAAAATTAAAGGGTTCCCGTGGGATAGTTAAAAACTATAACAACTTATACAGCTTAGTACACAAAAACTTCGGATTGGATTTTAATGAAACTTTACAATAATGTAGTTCATACATGACAACAACAAATCAACTACTTTTCATCCCGGAAAATTAAAGAGTATCCGTGGGATAGTCAAAAAACCATAGTAACTTATACAGCTTAGTACACAACAACTTATGCACCTAATTTAGTAAAAATTGGCATGCTTACTTTATATTGCCGTCAAAGAACAGGTTATATTTCGTCCCGGAAAGATGAACGGTTTCCGTGGGATAGATCTGTTTGTGCTTTTCTAGAGGCGAACTCGAGCGAAGCGAGGGTGAGCCGCTAGTGATAACATAAAAAGATAAAGTAATAACATTGATGGACTCGAACTCGAACGCGGGCGGACACTGGAAAAAATGCTAGTATTCAATAGTTTTTTAGATGTAGGCATGGCATTCCTAATCGTGCTCGGTCACAGTTGATTGCACGATTTGAAATCATCACCGCACAAATCCATTTGTTTCACCTAAACTGCAAAGAGCAATAAACGGAAATATTACTTGTAATATTTTAATCAAGAAAAATTACCTATTCAAATACCAAGAGCAACAGCAAGAGAAACCTGAAAAAGCTAATAAAATATGACGACAATGATGACAGAAGCGATTGAGAAAATCTATCTCTGACGACTCCGCATATAAAAATACTTTTATTTATTAAATATGAATAATAATTATTTACTTATTGTCCTTGCGAATTCTACCTGGAGGTTATATGATAGCCTCGGCATTGTCAAACCGACGAACTCAAATTAATATCTGCAGGTAGACAAGAGATGTTCAATCTTTTTTATTAAAAAGGTTAAAGGCCATTGTGGTCATTAAAATAAAATTATATAATACCATAGAATTATTTATTTAAATGCTTACTATTATATAAAGCTGACAAATGTTAAGAAATATTATATTAATGTTAAATAGTATTTGAAAAATATACATATTATATTTGGTGCAATATAATATGTTAATAATAATTATTATCCACAATACCAAGTTTAGTTTATTTTGTCTAAAAATTCAGGAAAAATACAGCGTTTTTTTTGTGTGCTGCATAAACAATTTGTGACAACGAAAACAATATGTAGATCTTTAATAGTTCTACAAAAAAATATACCATATACTCGTATCTAACTCTTATAGCTATATATTTCTTAGCAGGTATCGACCACGATATCTTTCAATTAGTTCTTATAGATAAAAAAATTATATTATACGTTTGATTTTTCAATTGGTGTCGACATGGCTCTTAATGAGCTTTACATTGACAAATCATTGGAATAGACGCGCAGGTCGTTAATAAATAAAACGATATTTAACGAGCAACCGCCATATTGACAAATGACAATACAAACTATAAGTAAAATGACTAGGAAGATTAAAATTCAGATTGATCGATTCGATTTTTTTTATTTACTTCTAATGTAATGCTTTCAAACTCCAATTTTTTTAATTTAATTCTTAATTTTATACATTCTGCATGTAACTACTTGTTTTCAGCGACTTCGCACGCATTGTAGAGCCCAACTTAAGCAGGACAGTGAACATTTATAGGTGCTATTTGCTTAATTTTTGTGATGTTCCGTAAACTTGGCAGAGTAAGCAATAAGTGAAGCAAAAAAAATCTTTATTATCTTTACAATGTTTTTAAAGGCTCTTTAATAGTCTCGGGGGTCCCTACACTACTAAATTCGACCACGCGCGCATATGTTCTATAAGAAGATTCTCGACTACTAACTACGACCGCTTCATAACTCTGTAAATAAGCTAA